CAGGTGTGAGCCACCTCACCCAATCCCTTTTTGTCTATATACTGAAATACCTATAAATGTGTGTGTGTGTGTATATATGTATATATATTCATTTTAATTATAGTGAAATATATATAACCTAAAGTTTTCTATTTCAAGCATTGTTAAATGTACAGGTCAGTGGCATTAGGTGCACTCACATTGTTGTGCAGCCGTGGCCACCACCATCTACAGAACTCTTGCAAAACTGAAACTTTGCCCCAAGTAAACATAACTCCTCATTCCCCTCCCCGAGCCCCTGGCAACCGCCACTCCTCTCCCTAGCTTCATGAATTTGACTACCCTAAGAATCCCATATGAGGGGAATCCTACAGCATGTGTCCTTTTGTGAGTGGCTTATTTCACCTAGCAGAATGTCTTTAAGGTTCATCCATGCTTGTAGCATGGGTCAGAACTTCCTTCTGGCCAAGCACCGTGGCTCAGGCTTGTAATCCCAACACTTTGGGAGGCTAAGGTGAGTGGATAACCTGAGGTCAGAAGTTCAAGGCCAGACTGGCTAACATGGTGAAACCCCGTCTCTACTAAAAATAAAAAGATATTAGCCGGGCATGGTGGCACATGCCTGTAATCTCAGCTACTCGGGAGGCTGAGGCAGGAGAATCGCTTGAAGCCGGGAGGGGGAGGTTGCAGTCAGCCAAGATCGTGCCATTGCACTCCAGCCTGGGCAACAATAGTGGAACTCTGTCTCAAACAACAACAGGCCAGGCTCGGTGGCTGACGCCTGTAATCTCAGCACTTTGGGAGGCTGAGCGGGCGGATCACGAGGTCAGGAGATTGAGACCATCCTGGCTAACACGCTGAAACCCCATCTGTACTAAAAATACAAAAAATTAGCTGGGCGTGGTGGCGGGCGTCTGTTGTCCCAGCTACTCGGGAGGCTGAGGCAGGAGAATGGCATGAACCCGGGAGGTGGAGCTTTGCAGTGAGCCGAGATCGTGCCACTGCACTCCCCTGCCTGGGCAACAGAACGAGACTCCGTCTTAAAAAAAAGAAAAAAAACAGGCCCAGTGCGGTGGCTGACGCCTGTAATCCCAGCACTTTGGGAGGCCGAGTCGGGTGGATCATGAGATCATGAGATCGAGACCATCCTGGCTAACACGGTGAAATCCCATCTCTACTAAAAATACAAAAAATTAGCCGGGCTTGGTGGCAGGTGCCTGTAGTCCCAGCTACTCGGGAGGCTGAGGCAGGAGAATGCTGTGAACCGAGAGGCGGAGCTTGTAGTGAGCCGAGACCACGCTACTGCACTCCAGCCTGGGTGACAGGCCGAGACTCCGTCTAAAAAAAAAAGTCCTTCTTTCTTGAGGAGGAATAATAGTTCATGATGTATATGTATCATCTTTTGTTCATCCATTCATCCATCAATGGACAGTTGGCTTGTTTCCATATTTTGGCTATTGTGAATAATTCTGCTATAACTATTGGTATACAAATATCTCTTTGAGACCCTGCTTTCAATTCTTTTGGGTGTATATATATGGAGAAGTGGAATTGCTGGATCATATGTTAGTTTTATTTTTAATTTTTTGAGGAACCACCCTGTTGGTTCACACAGGGTGAAAAACGTGTTGTTTTTTATGGACCAGCTATCTTATACAGCAGCTGCATTGTTTTCCACTCCAACCAGCAATTCACAAGCATTCCAGCTTCTCCACAATATATATCTCACCATGTTTTTCTTTCTTTC